TTTCATATACTCTTTTTTGTAGTAGAATATGCTTGTAAGATAAATCAACATATGTGTATTAAAGTATGTTTTAATAGAAAAAATGTAGAATGTGTTCAATTGCATTTATTAAATTTTTATATATATTTAAATAGTAATAAAAACAAATACCTTTTTTTTTGTGTTATTATTTTTCATATGAACATATATACAGGGAAATGTGTTTATACATTGAAATACAAGTTACATTTAACGTAATTATAAATAATCAGTTTCTCTAGTTTGCGCTTCAACACAGATAACAATAAAATGAAAAGCTTACACTTTATAACATTAAAAAAAGTGCTATTGTTTAAACATTAGTGATAATTAGTATATTATATAACTAATAAATGTTTATCCCCTTTGTTAATAGCTATATGTTTACATATAAATTGTCTATCCGTGTGGTTATTTTATTACTTCTTAATGTGCGTTATATTCATTTTTATTATTCAGTTTCAAAAATATAAATCACAACAAAATGAAGAAGTTAAAAATTAATACATGTATTCTTATTTATTTCTATAAAATAATTTATACAGCTCATTTTAATAATCTACAATCATTTTATAGAAAATTTATTTTTTGTTCAATATTTGTCTTGATGCGCTTGAATGCTAAAAATTTCCTTTTTAATGTTTTTATATATACCTGAAGTTCATTCATGAATATATAGTTCTGATTTTATATATGAAACATGAAAAAATAACCAATTTTTTAATGAGAATTATAGAACTAATATTACTAACAATCCAACGAATCCTAATTATATTCACTGTAATCCATATTGAAACGTTTCTAAAATATGAAAAAATTTATTTCATTTAATTGAAAATTTCCTATACAAGAGTATTCCCGGTTTTACGTATTTGTATTATTTGCTATAGCACAATGATCTTGTTCAAAATTAATCCACACAAATTACATTAATTTTATTAGTTCCATCTACGAAACCATATAAAGGGGATAATATAAATTCACAAATACAAGTTTATTGTGTAAAAAAAAATTTGCTGAAAGTGTTTTTCCAAGCACATAAGAACATGTTAATCATTGTGATATTTTGGATAAAATTTGAAAACAGAAAAATTTGATATAATAGTACGTATAAGTGTGAGTAAAACTATATGGACTTTTATATAAAACATATTGAATCACGTCATTGAGTTATTAATGAGAAATTCTATAATGTATTAGAAAATTTTAAAAATATGTATTATAAAGTTATGTGAAAACAAAGAAGCTAATATATTCTTCAAAAAGCATTACAACACAATATGAAAATTAACATGTATGATGTTTTTTTTGCCTAATTAGTTATAAAATTAGTAATATGTTTTAATTAGCTTATTTCGCTTATGTTTGATAAATATTCTATGTAAATAATATAAATATTTCATAACATTTCATATTTTATCAAAAGTAATAATAACAAAAATATTGCATTTAAGTGAAAACATTTTATTATTATTTTTTTTTTTTTAAATATAATTTACATCGTTTTACTTCAATTTGCATTCTAAGGTAGGAAAAAAAAAGCATATATATTAAAGATATTTTATATAAATAATAAATAAAAAATATAATTTAATATCAATAAATTTAATATGAATGCTTATATTGTACATAATATACCAATGTAATTAACATAATTATAATAGAACTCTAAATTGAATTATATTTAAAAAGTATAATTCTACGTCTATAGACTAATGGCAATGTCCTCATGTCATTATTTCATGGTAATATTGTTATGTATACGCAATTCTTTTAAAACATTATAATTTATTATAGAAAAGATTATTTGCGCCATTTAGTTACTAATTTACACACTCCTTACACATATATAAAAAGGCATTCTAGATTATTCGTGTCAAAATACTGGATTGCCTCATGAACACCTTCCAAATTTTGGAATCAGCGTGTAATATTTTCTTATATTTTTGTTGTTTCCTCATTAATAGCTTTTAAGCAATATTTATATATTTCATCAATTATGGGAAGCACAAAAATATTTGACGTGTATTTTATAAAATTCTCAATTATTGTAACTACTTTTTTTAGAACATCTTCATATGTCCTGTTTTACAAGTATATAAATTTAGGATATACTTGAGAATTATCAATACAATCGTTTTGAAATCCTTTATATTATACAAAAGACTTGGAAAAGATGTGTTCCATTATGTTTTGCATTATTTATGTTTTCAAAATATATTCTTTAATTTCTAAGTATATTTTCTTCTAAAAACATGATAAATGCCTACATTCATGTTTCACATATTCTTTTCAAACCATTATGTAAGCGTAAACAAATTTCTCCTTAGAAAAAATTCTCATTTTATAGTGTTTTAACAAAAATATAAGTTTTTTTTCAAGTGTCTTGGGTGCGTTACGTAATATCTTTGCAACTATATTTGTGGGGCACATATGTTTCATACTACAACATTTTCTTTCCATTCTTCATAGTACTATGCTGAATATTCAATAAGCACAGCGGAATCGAACCTCGCAAATGTAAAAAATAATTATTAAATAATGAGATTCTTAGGGGAAATAATCTTCCCTTATATCGATGTTTCGTTACCCTCATTCTTTTGAAACTTATATTTACGTATGAAGATAATTCGATATCTTATAGCCATTTCATGAAACCATAGATACAAAGAACAAGTTTTTTATCTAGGATTAAATCATTGTTAGTCACTTTATGTTTCCTATTTTTATTTACTAACGCTTCATATAAATTTCGTACATTAAATGTTTCTCACTTTCTACAGCTTCAACAGATGGTGTACAGAAATCAACCATCATCATTCGGTGCATATGACCTTATTCCTAATTTTATTCAAGCTTTCGTTCCTTCTTTATTTCATATAATTCTTCTCTTAATTGTTGAATGCTCCTGTGAACTTATCTTTATCATTTTCTTTATAAGTAATTCATTTTTTCCAACCTAATTGAGTTTTGTGTGATACACACATTTTCCAATTATTAAAAATGTATCATTATCATCAATAAATTAATGCAGTTAGTTATGAGTCACTGGAATGTGTGTTTTTATTAAATTTCATCGCAGATACTTCTACTATTACCTCATAATTATGTACACATTTTCTCCTATGAACAGGGTTCATATAAAGCCTTGTGTTTAGCACGATTTTTTTTTTATTATTATTTGTTGAAAAGAAATAATAATGTATTCAGTAATTGTTTTATATTTTTTGTCTTAACTGTATAAGAATAATGCTAAAAAGTTTCGTCTACAAATATAATTTGTGGTTATGCAACATCTTATATATGATGTAGTAAATTAATTTGCATCCCTGTAATATTTCTGATTTTGCCATACAACAATTTGAATTATAAATATAAACAGTAAATAAGTACCTAAAAGATTACACTTGTAATAAATGGAACGTAAAAACGCACAGAATGAATGTTGAATTGGGTAGATAACTATTGCTATAATAATTATAGTATATTTATTGTACCCTAAAATAAGAAAATTTATGCAAATTTCATAATTCTTCTGAATTCGCATAAAATTTATAAAACTTATATGTAAGAGTTCTTACAGAATAACTCAAGTATTTCTTAATTTTTTAAGTACTTCAAAATAAAGTAAATTAAAACAAAATAAACAATTTTACCACAAATCTAATAAATTATGCACTAAGTTGCGCAATTTATCATATCATTATATATATATGTATATACATATTATAAGAACATATATGATTGCCCTTTTTCGTTTTTATAAAAATTAACAAAGAAAAAAAAAAAAGATTCTCAGAAATTAATAATATTTATATTACATCTGCATTATTTTTATTTATAGGATCAAATGTATATTGTCTAAGTTAATACATTTCATTATTAGAAAAAATTCATTTAGCATATTGACCAAATACAATTTTAATTCATATAATTAAAAAAAAAAAATAATTATGATAATAAAATAAATTAAAACAGTTTTATGCGAAATAATAACTTAAGAATAAATAAAATTAATTGTAATAAGGCGAAAATTATTGTATTGTGATTAGTAATTTATTATTGTATTAAATATTTAGATTATTTAACATAGAAAATGGGAAAACATCAGAATTATAAATTTTCTAAAATCAGAATACATATAATTAGTATTTATAAATATTATTTTATATTGATATATTTATAATAATTATATTACCACAATACTTATATAATATGCATAATATCAAGAACAAAACTATGATTAATGTATTTATATTAAAATTAAATAAATGAATATATATAAATTTTAAATATTATGATAGATTATGTCTTATAGTCTTAATAAATTCCATATAACATTAAATCTTTCTGACATATTCAATGATTGAAATATGAGTGAATTAAATCACAATAAATCATTTTATAGAATGTCTTTCATTCTATGTATAAGAGTAAATAACTAAAATATTGCCATTAAAACCTAAAACAACAAATTGTCTATTATAAAACCATAAGCTATAAACTATGGAGGTTACGCTTTTGTAACTACATCCATTTATATGTAATTTATAAAAGGAAATAAAGACATGTAAATAAATGTATTTAAATCATATTATTGAATATTTGAATATATATTACATTTACTATCCTATAGTTATTGATATACTTGTTATACCTATGTTACATATAATTATTATAAAAGTGTTGCATGTTATTTTAACTTCCTGTAGCACTTAATTGTCATAAATATATTTTTCATAATGTATTTATGTAAATTAATCCATTTTATGTCCCGAATGAATAATACTACAAATGTTTAGATTATGTCAATAAGTGTGTAAAAATGTACTTTTAAAAGAGATATATTAATATATAAAAAATGAGAAATAATACCAATAAGGTGAATATAATATTTATATTGATATATTTAATATATAAGTGCTTATAATAAAAAAAAAAAAAAATGCTTTCTTTGAATTATTTTACATATATCAAACAAAATGACAGATGTTGATGTTGTGGACGAGGATGTAAGCTTTTTCATATTATTAAAATTATGTTTTATCATATATAATATATAATGTAAAATTGTTTATAGATTTGAAAATCAGAAAAAAACGTTTTTCTTAGTAATATTGACATAACTTTTATGCACATTGTTATTTTCATTTTTAGATTAATTTTGAAGAAATGTTTCCTAAATATATTTATGATTATAATTCATATATTATAAGTGAAAGACTTAATCTAGCTTTCAAATATGTACCAGTGTGTAATGAGATTAATAAAAAGATAAACCCTAATGGTTGGAAGAATCAATTAAATTTTACGCCGGATTGCAGGAATCTTAGTCTCTTTTTACATCATATAAAAAATATTAGTGAAAATGAGAAAAAAGCGAGGTGCAAATATTTCAATTATAAGCTAAAGGATCTAATTACAAAAAATAAATGTACCTGTAACCCAGTGTCAAAATGTTACGAAAATATGATAGCGGAAAAGGGAGCTTATATGACGGTGCCTAACATATGTAAAACCTATGTTGATGATCTTCCAATTCTGGATGGTTATTCATTTACAGTATTCCAACATCTCGATGATCTATATAATGTTATTTTTCATATAAATATAGATAAAAATAAATGTCATTTTTATAATAATTTATTTTATAAATATATTACAGTATTAAGAAATTATACATATGAAAATAAGAAAATACATAGTAATTTAATTGATAAAGTTATATTAGAATTTCAAAAGGTTTGCAGTGGCTATGTAACACCTCCAGCAGGTTTTGAACTTGTAAAACGTGAATCTGAAAATCATAATACTTTGAACCATAAATCTGTGAAATCTGAATCTGTTATATCAACGGCCGGGAACCCTGATCGCATTTTCATTAAACATGAGAATCATGATGCATTATATGATTCCTCTGGGACCAGTACAGGGATAAGCACGGGTGTGGTAATTATAACATTTTTATTAATGTCATTCCTTTTGTACAAGGTTAAAAATAAATTTAATTATTAAATTTATATTATATTGCAATATATATTACATATTATTGTAAAAAAATTTATATCAAATAAATTCCCAATTCGAAAAAACATTATATTATTTTTTAATCATCAGTATACCCCATATGGGTCATTGATACAAATGAAAGTAAAGAAGTTAATGAAATGTTTAAACAATGAAAATGAAGATGATGTAAACTTAATAGAATCATTTGAACGAAAATACAAAAATTCAATTGATGAAAGTTATAGAATAGCTTATACCACTGAAGATTATTATGAATAAATACATAATAGTTAATAAATTTGAAATCGTTTATTTTAAGTAATTCTATGGAACTAAAGAACTGCATTTTTATGGGGAAAAAAAAAAAAAAAACTTAGTTACGCAATAAAAGTTTTGATAAAATATTGACATTATTATAGAAGAAATAAACAAGTAATCTGAATTTAAGACAATGCATGAAATTATTCATTTTGAAACATTTCTTTACAATGCACAAGTATTATAGACGCAATCAAAAAATACAAGAGTTATACAGTGTATAAAAAAAATATATGAAATCATTAAATGTTGTTAACGTATAGATAATAATATGCACATTTAAGTAAAATGCGTTAACAATATTCATAATAAGTTATTTGTGAAATGTGATAATTTTTTAATATATGTAATAAGTATAGAGAAAAATTGCATGTTTAATAATAAAATAAACACAATATTTTAAAAAATACATAGTGTCATAGTTTTTAATGTTCTATAAACGAATGGACAAAAATAATTAAGAGCATTAATTTTATATAACTCTATTTAATTAAAATCAAGTCAAGATTAACACAATAGCATACATTAAGCTATATATAATACACATTGTAACATAATGAACTGAGATATATTTAGTCAATACAAAAGAAGCATAAGCAAAAATCATTTCCATATTATTTTAATTTCTCGGAGTCCTCCAAGAAGTATTTTTTCAATATTAAGAAATGATAAAAATAAGTGTAAAATTAGTCACGAAGTAAATATATCTTGTTTCTTATAGGAGAACAATCATAACGCAACATTATAAATATAATATAATTATGTTATAATTGTCCATATAAGAATCTTTTTCATATTTATTTTTTTAAAATTTTATAATAGTTAATAAAACTATAATAATTTATTGTAATTACAGAATATATAACAAAATATAAATTTATATGATGTACATATGTATAACGATGTATATGATAACATATCTAATTCCAGTTATTATATAGGTGCTAATTTTTATATTTTAAATATATCTCTTATAATTCAAATATAGGAGACAAGCAAAATACATCAACATATATTAGTATTAAAGTTAAAAACTAGCTTTAATGTAAAAAAATTATTCAACGATGCTCTAAGGGAATAAGGAAGTTGAAGAATACATAAAACACAAAATATGTTTTTCCATTAACTGAATGGAATATATATATGATGTCAGCTTTCATAAAATAAAAATTAAAAGATTTACATTAATGCTTTAACTTCTCTTTAAATTGCGCTTAAGGGTAAAAATCTATAGGTATTAATAAAAACCTACAAGCTTAAGTATAATGGACTTTAAGAAAATGTCTCAATCCAGTAAATATATGTCCAATTTATATGAATTTTGATTTTTTAAATTTTTAATAAAAAAAATTATTTGAAATCATATATATATATTTTTTTTATTTACACTTTTTTTGTGTTCCATAGCAATATTAGCTATATTTTTTATGTGCTCAATTTTGTTTGTTACTTATTCATAAAATTTAAATAAGTGTAATTATTTTCCAAAAAATTAAAATTAATAATATAATAGTTTTTTTATCTTTTATACATTTTTTGTTATTTGTTTTTTTCACCACTATTAATATACATTTTATTATGTTAAATTTAAATGTTTATTAAAATATGTATAAATAATACAGTCATTTCTGTGTAATATTGAATCCGTGTCTTTTTTTTTAAATACAAACTTCATTATTTGTGATTTTTTTATTATCATAATATATATTTAATGATTATAGTATACTTATATTATAAACTTTGGGGGGGAAATTATGTTCAAGTATTTTAATTTAATATTTTCTTATCACTTATCCTTTATTTTATTCATTTATATGTAGAAGAAAAATATGTGTCCAATATATTTTAAAATTTTGGAATGATTACAATAATAAACATAATAATACACATATATTATTAATATATGTGTTCCATTATCTACTTTTATAGTGTACTTTATGCTAACACAATTAAAATGAATCTTATATTTAATTACCATGAAATAGTTATTAAAATGCTAAGTTAAAAAAATATAAGTGTATATGATAAATATTCACTTTTCACTGAATTCATACTTCATTTCATGTATATAAAAGTTTTCATCTTTAAGGAATCTACTAAATGTACTTGAAATGTTAGGCATACTTTATGAATGTATGGAATTATTGTATTCTTTCTAAATCATTATTACATTATCTATATTATTCTCCTGAATTTATTAATACATGTGTCAGCAGAATATTTAAGTATATGTGTTTTTAATTATATAATATATCGTGTAAAATTAATCTTATAAGTTAATATAGTTTTGCAACTTATTATTATTTGCATTATATAGATTTATATAAAATATAAACATTCCTTGTATGAAAAAATAAATACTCATGATTTTCTTAAAAATTTTAATCAAAAGTACTTGCAGCAGATTATAATTAAGATTTCCACGTATTTAGAGTAATATAGTGTATTCGTTTTACTTCTAATAATAACATATAGATATCATACCCAGTAAAACATTATAATAGATGTTATAGAACTGTTTATTTGAAAAACATAAATGGCCATAATTTCATTTTATTTTTGTATTTATTAATTAATAATTCTTATGTATGAATTAATATCAAGATAATTATTCGCAATAAAATATACTTTTTTAATTTTATTTCTATATTTATATAAATACATAATAAGAGGGAACTAAACTCCAATTTAGTATATTAATAAATGTAAATGCTTATGAATATTGTTTATCTAGGAATTTGTTTATTATTGAATAATAAAAGCATAAATCCAATTGAACATGATTTATTTTACAATTATATGCGCGTTATATGTTTGTCATTATTATATTTTATATTTAGAATAGATCTACATTGAATACTCAAAAAAGAATAACTACCTTTAAATTTTTTTTTAAGAAAATTTTTATTATATATACTATAAATGTGAAATAAATTTTGTAGTATATGCTCCCTGAAGAAGCGTATATATTTTTTTATTATAACACAGTGATATGATTTTATATTTGTTGTAACAATAATGAATAAAAATGTATAATCCACGATATAGTAACCTTTTTTATATGTTCTTGTACACTTATATCACTTATTATGTGTTTTTAGTTATGCTTATATAAAACATTCATATAAATATTTTATACTTCAGAAAATAAAACTTATCTTATATATTTTTAGTTTACCTATTTTCAATATTTGAATACATAAAATAAGAGTATGAACTAAAGTATCTTGAAATATAAGGAAGATTGTATCATAAGTGAAAAAAGCAATCGTAAACAATCTATAATTCTTTTAAACAGATATTTCTATAAGTGGATATGCTGTAATGTTTCATTAAGATATGGAAAATATGATAATAAATAATTTCAAAATATTATAGAAATACATATTCTTAATATTAAGAACTCACTGGTAAATAAAATTTTAAATAAAAAATATTAGGAAGTATCTATAAAAAATTTCATATAATGAAAAATCTACATTTATTTACATATATATTAAGCTTCTCTCACTTTCTGATTTATATGTATTTATTAGCACCTCTAAATGTTGAATTTTTTGTTGTAAATTAAATGATATAATGCATAATATTTGTTTAAATGTATCATATTTGGGGGATCATTTTTACTTATTTAAAGAGCTAAGCATTATATATAAAAATATGTCATGTATTTGTGCTATACATTTATTTATAGATTATTCTAAATTTTTTTTTTTCATTCCGAAAATATTTAGTACATGTTATTCATAATAATTATATTTCTAAAGAAAATGTTAAATTAACACTTAATGTTTTATTGTTACTATAAATGAAATAAACATAAAGGATTATAGCATACATCTATAAATAAAAGTGTTCTTAAACTTGCAATAAATGTTATAAACTTTATAGCTTAGAATGATAACTATTCTACATATATTAGTTATTTATAATTATTATTATATTTACATAATATGAAAATATTCCCATAATAATATGTAATAGGAGAATTTTCTCTTATATTTAAATCCACAAACGAAAAATATATCATAAAAAATAATATAATTTTTGTAACTGTTAAATAATATTTTGAATGATCATGAATTTTTTTTTCTGTCATATTTGTCTTTTACATTAGTTCGTGATTCATATTAATCATTAATTGAATAATTTTATTACAAATATATCTGTGTCATATTACTTAAATAAGATGAACTCTTTCGAATGAAATATTTCTTAATTGAATATTATCAAATATTAAAAACTTACAATATTTTATTTACCTGCTGAAAATAACATCAACAGAATAAATTTACTCCTCATTCCGAATTTATTCTCATCAGCATTAATATAATTTTAATTGACATAATGGCATATATATATTAAAAATATGTAATAATATATAAAAAA